CTCAAATATTGTCAATGTCCAGCTGCTACTATGGTGGATCTCATCCTGTCCCTCGAAGATTTTCAGAAACAATTTCTAATAACAAACACGAAAAAACAGAACACAGATTGGCGACTGGAGAATCCTTTATTCCTACGCCAATATATATCCAACAATGAGGTTATTATACACAAGGTTTCTGATAGTTTTCTTCCACCGAACAGCGAACGATGAGACGATGACTGCTAGATTGATGACTCCCGCGAAAAATATGGTGAAGTCGGGTTTGAGCGAACAACCACGAATTGATCGTTCAATCTTCAACTACACTGACACTCCCCGGCAAAAATCGGATTCATCCCTTTTTTCCATCACAACCAATACACGTTGACTTGGATGCCATTGCGAGAACCTGGGTCACACGGACAAAGCTGAAATGGAAAACAAACAGCAAAGCCAACACACCACAGGCATATCCACAGCACAATCTCACACATCGACGACGACTTACGCCTTCCAGTTAAAGGCATCCTCTTGACATCTTGCAACACAATCGCCACTTGCTAGAATGACTCTTACAGAAAACAACGTGACCATAGCAGCACCTCACGATATTCTTCACACGCTGTCTTATCTATTCACTACCAATTACCACTGCAGTCGCTTCTCACTCATTCTGCCTCGATCCTAGTAATGGTGATGTATGCAAGCCTAAGTCGTCTACACTCTCGCTCCTCCGCGTGTGGGACCACATTCTAAATAGAAATATTCATTCTCATTCATTGATTCCGCAGCTAATCCTTATCTCCGTGCTCATTTCAGTCTCAGCACTAGCATAGCCTCCCCGACGTATACGACCCATCTGCTGTCCTTAAAATCAATCACGGATATGAAAGACTCGAAACAACTTCAGGAGTAAGCACGACGAAAATTTTAACAAAATTATGCAATAAAAACAAGGTACGAAAACAACAAGTAAACACAATGAATCCAAAAACACCAATTGCTATGACACACCACACGTATATACAAACAGTACACATAACCTCGCCGATCATGTCTTGATGGAATTCTTTCGAGGAATTGCAGGACTTACACCAGTGCGCCTGCGACCCTTCTCCGAATGACGATTGTAGGTTGACGAATGTCCGGACACAAACAAGATTAACCAACAATTACATTAACTGGAACCCACTCAATTACTTAACACAAACATGTTGACAGTCAATACATCAAATGTTGTGGATTCTGCCTTGACGAGCAACTCTTGAAGAGATGTAGGACTTACAGCAGTACGCCTACATTCCTTCACAGGTTGATGATACAAGTGGAAGACGTCCGGACACAAACAAAATTACTAACAGATAGGTGAGAGATTATACCAATTCAGTATATACAACATGAACATACGTATAAAAAACATACCAAGTACGATGGACTGAGCTTCGACGTACTACCCTTGAAGAATTGTAGGACTTAGAGCAGTACGCCTATATTCCGAGGATCAGTCGTTACGCCATTCGACCAGGATACATGAACCATCTTAGAAATAAGGCCCACCTATACCATTTCCCACAGTCAGCTGAAGCTATACAGCATGATTAATGGACATTATCCTATATACCCATGATAGGAATAGAATATAGCCTAAAACTTTCTTGGCACAGGGCACTAAGAGGAAATCATCGCTGACCCTTACCAGCAGTACTCCATCCGTCGGAGGCTTGAATCCAGTATTCATCCACCTGGACTGCCTAACTGCAGTAGAGGACCTGAATGAGGAAAGCCTTAACAGCAGCCTTGTATTTCATCACCATCAAGAAGAGTAGCCACAATATCTTTTTTAGTTCTTCTCTCAACATATGTGAAAACACTTCGGGTAAAGCCATATGAATGGACAGTGTCAAATCAAGACATTGTACCGAGCTTTGGTTTTATTTTATCCCAGATGGATTTGTTGTAGTCTATTGAGATAAGTGATTCTGTCACCTATCACTCATCTGGAAGAGTGCTATAACACGTATTCTTATGTTCAAGGGAATAATCGCCGGTTTCCTGGGGGACTTGCATTCGACAGATCTACATTACCTGACCCCAAGTGTATTTCTTAATTCATTGTCTGTATCACTGAAGGACAAGTCACAATTTACTGTCTAGCCGTTGGTGGAGAGCAAAGCCTTATAGACATCTAAGAGACGAGGGAATGATGACGTTTCCGCGAACCACCATGTGTACCGATTCAAGTTCCTACACCCACAATTACCACTGTGTTTATTCCACGTAGACGAAAAGCAAATCAAAACGACAGATTCACCATCCAAGATATGAATCAAATTCGTGGTGTGATGTTACTTTTTGGAATTTTAATCCTATCCCGTTCTATTGTGTAGTTGTTTGTTAATGCATGAAGTGCAATTGCTGAGCTTTTTTCTAAATTACTTATCTTCTCATGGTCAACCATTTTTACCTCAGATAGGTCCTTATGTCCCGGTAATCTTACTAACCACGACCTACTAGTTTCACCTATGTAGTTGACGTAACTCATCAGAGTCATTGTAGGGTATCTTGTAGATTATATTGTCTAATTGGGTCAACAGGGTTCTTTAACCTACACAGCTTGTCTCTGATTGAGTTTGTAAGTTTGAATACCACCATAATTCCTGCTCTATTAAAAATCCTACGTAGAGTCTCAGAAGTCCCCTCCTCATATGGTATAACAGTGGATGACTTACTTACGTTATCATTACTAGTTTCACAATTATTTTTATTTTGCTTTTGGACTTTTCTAATCTTCCTAATGAAACACCAACGCCTCTTCTATCTGTTTAATTTCATCATTTAGGTCTTTTCTTGTGCTGTTTAGTGCTACTGCTCGGTTTGTTAGACACTTAACTAAGCCTATATATTGAAACACCTTAAATACCCACGGATGAAGGTACCATCAAAAAATATCGTCGTCCTTAACACTTGAATGACATACATATCATACTGGTTTATTTACGCACTGAAGATATTTACGTAACACACCAAGATATATGAGAAATTTTTTCACGAGAACCACTACTCCCTTGCACTGATGCATGTTAAACCTAATTCTTCTACCTACAGAACTACTAGTGTAAAAAAGAAAAGACCGACGAGGCTCGAAGGAATGTTTATTGGGACAAACGCATTGTAGGTGCATAAATTCAATTTGGTATACCATCTCTTCAATGCTTTAATTGCACATCATTTGCAAATTGGTCGAATATCACCACATTCGATAGCTTGTTGGATTCTACACAGTGTTTCTAACGTCATTCCTACAGTTTTCTTCTTCGATTGCGTTTTCCAGTGTCCGAAACATATTGTTACTTTTCTGAATTCGTTTATTGATATATTACTTTTTATACCTGATTATAAGTAGCACTTACCACACTAGGACAAAATGATTTCATTCATCCGAATGTCAGATAAATCTTGACAATTTTCATGAATGATCTCAACATCTACAAATCAGTCCGTCTCAAACCCTTCTGACTAATCAAATGCATAGCTTTCAGTTCAGCAGCAGATCAATCATCAGGCCGAATTTCTCAGCGGTGGGTAACGTATGTGACTGCAAACACTGGCTGACACGGGTTCGGAGGTTGCAGATACACTTCACTGACAAGTAAGTATAAAGCACCACCAAAACCTCAGGAATACTGCTTCAACAGTTTGACGAGGAAAGTCACTCTCTCCAGAGAATCGAGTAGAACACAAACCCTCTAGTACAAAAGTAGACACACCACCATCAACTACAGAACACGCATTATTGTTTCAAAACGATACAAACTTCACAGTTAACTAGTAATCATATGAGACAAAAGACTTCGTAATTGGCTCACTACATTCCTAAACATTAACCTTGGGTGGGTGAGGTTCGTGACCACACCACAGATTGAAAGAAATCTCCGTCGATGACACACTGGTTAACGAAGACGCCACTCTTGTTGTTTGTCTTTCGAGCTTCAGCTTCGAAGTTTCAGTAGCAAAATGGTTTTATCTTCACTCGGTGGGATTGCTGCTAGTCGCCTCTCCACACTCAAACTTCCCTCTCTTTACTGGAATTAATAATGGCTTCACGAGATGAGGATAACTTCCCAGACCACATACCTGGTGGTGATGATGATGGTGGTTAGCGAGCGCATTCTACCATTAAGGCAACCACCACCGAGCGCTACATTGCGAACAGACAAAAGTTATGAATTCATGAGTCTATCACATTCACAACTACTGGTTGCAGAATGATCAACAACCGGACCTCTGAATTATCTTCAAGATCGTGGAGCTCATCGTTGGTCAGGTCACAATCATATTAATTATTACTAGTGAAAAGTCCCAAAAGCCAGTCATCTATGCTTTGTTTTGTAGGCCTTCTAGCGATTCTTTCTAAATGTTGTTAGACTGTGAAGAAATCATCCATGTTGAAATTAACCTGTAATCTGAATAAATGAAAGAACGTGCATGTATCAATGGATCAGAGACTTTTCAACCAACACCGGTTTTCCACTATTCACTATTTCTTATCACTTTGTCTCTCTCTCTCTTTTAGAAGAGACGAAGTTGAAGCCAAGACTAACAAAAACAACAACAATAACGCTTTATTCAAATTTTATAATTGAAATCTAACCAATAAGTATTAGTAATAATAATAATGAATAAATCTGAATTTCGGGTTCCTGTATGTATGTGTGTATGTACAATTATAATCGTTAAAAAACTATGTATATATAACAAATGCATCGTGGAAATAGACGCATACATTTATGTCTGTGTGTCTGTACAAACTGTGTATATACATATATATGTAATGTATACATAACAACTGTGAATAAGACAGTAATAGACATACAATGGAGAAAGACGTATGAGTCAATGTGTCAATCAACCAACCAACCAATCAATCACTCAGTTTGCCTGCCCGCCTCTGCCTGACTATCCGCCTGTCCATGATGTGAAATTTTATGTATTAATAAACTACGTCGTGACTTATAAACCTTATTACAAAGTTTACAAAGGAATATCTTTCCGAGAACAACACCCACACGATTACCGCCGCCGCTGCTGCTGCTGTTCTTCTTGGCATTCTCTTCACGATCACATTCACCTGATCTAGACGTCAACGACGATGATGATGACGTCGTCGTCGTCCGTGGTGCTGTTGAAGCGGATCCAGTAGTGGTTGGGTTATTATTATTATTATTATTCAACAACGACAACAAATTAGGGTTATTGTTTTTAGGTCCAGCTGGAGGAGTAGAAGATGGGACAGTGTTGAATAGTTAACAAACAAACAAAAATTAATTAATTGATTAATTAATTAAATACAGAAGTGTTCCGACTGAAGCAACATACTCCTCCTCCTCCTCCACCATTCATGCTTCTCTCAAGATCCACCATCACCGACTGATATCACTTACAGAAAGAACCATTGGAAACAAATCAGGAGTACTGGTACTGGACACAGCTGTTTCGTCAGCCTAGTTCAGTCTGGGACTACTCACCAGCAGTATGCACCCGACCGCACTGCTAGGGTTAGGGCCAAGGACCTTCCGGTTACAAGGTAAACTTGTAGACCCAACACACTCAATGGCCAACCACCCATGAATACTGACCGATTTCTACCAAATCGTGATTTTAGCGCGACTGACTGACTGACTAGGCGCACCAGCTGTCTGTCTGTCTGTCTGTTTTCGACATAGAACTTTGCACAAATGTGCGGCAGTTCAAGTCGCCACACTCCGTGTAGCACGCGAAGCAAGAGAAGAAAGTACAAGAAAAGCATAATAGAAACAGTGAGCAGAGGTGTGAGACAAAGGAGTAATAAAGAAATACAAAACAGTTTCATTGAAGATTATTAGTCACAGGGAGTGGATGCATCTGCGCTAGCCATTGAGAACGATTTTGAGCCATGTCACCAATTGTTTCCAACCATAGATTTTTACCGTCCCGAGGACCCCAACCAGTAAGCCAGTCTACACCTTCCTACGTGGCTTAGACCAACTGTTGTGGATTTCATTGACTGGTGAGGCCAAGTTTTTGTTTGACCGCCGCTAGCTTTTTTCCAGTCTGACCCTATATCCGCTAACATTGCTCGTCGAGGGAGGCGATGGCTTGGCATACGTAACACATGTCATAACCATCTCAGTCTTCGTAACTTCACGACTTCGTCGATTGATTTCCCCTCTTTACCTAGCACTCGACACCTAACTTCAATGTTGCTCACCTTATTATGCCACTTTACACGGGAAATAGAGCGCAGGCACCTATGATCAAAGACAGCTAGCCTTTTCATGTCTTCAACTTTCAGTGGCCAGGTCTCACAACCATAAAGGAGGACGGAGCGGACTGGTGAGCAGTACACCCGCCCTTTGGTCGATAGTCGAACATCTCGTCTACGCCAGAGTCGGCGTAAACTGGCAAATGCGAAACGAGCCCTCTGTATTCGTGCTGAGATTTCGTCAGAGATCAACCCGTTGGCGGCTGATGGTACTTCCCAAATAAGTGAAGCGGTCAACGTGCTCTACCACTTCACTTCCTATTTTTAAACTAGGCGTCGATGTAGTCCAGTCCTGTAACATCATCTTGCATTTGGCGGGAGCGAATCGCATGCCAAACATTCGTAGATTGCTGCTCAAGGTGTTTAGAAGACTCTGCATTTCGTCAGCGTCTTCGCCCAGAAGGACTATATCGTCTGCATATTCCAAGTCAACGAGATTATTCCCCGGTAGCAAGTCAATCCCTGAGTCGCTGAAGTCACCTAAGGTTAAGTCCATTAACACATCTATGACGAAGTTGAAAAGAAAAGGAGATAATGGGCATCCTTGACGGACACCACTGGTCGTCATCAGTTCAGATGACAGCTCGCCATAAGCCCTCACCTGACTGTATGAGTTAGAGTAGAGTGCCTTAATCAGTGCAATATATTCTCTTGGAATTCCCTTTACAGCCAAGCATCTCCAGAGAACTTCCCGATCGACAGAGTCGAATGCTGCCTTTAGGTCAAGAAATATAATGACTGTTGGACGCCGGTAGGAATGACTATGTTCTAGAATCTGTCGGAGGGTGAAGATGTGATCAATACACCCTCTTCCTGGTCTAAAGCCTGCCCGTCTCTCTCGTGTTTGTGCTTCCCGAGCACCACTCAGTCTACGCATGATTATTGAGCCTAAGACTTTAGATACTATATTAGTCAAGCTAATCCCTCTGTGATTATCACAGGAAGACTTGTCTCCCTTCTTGTATATGGGGATAATCAGTGACTTACACCAACCCGATGGGACTTCTTCTGATTCTCAGACGCTGCCTAGTACCTCAGTTAATCCAGACAATAAGCTGTCTCCACCGTACTTAAATACCTCTGGCGTCATTCCATCAGGTCCCGCTGCTTTGCCTAGTTTCAGATTGGTGACAGCTTTAGTAACCTCAGTTAGGGACGGAGGACCTGTGTCTATATCCCATTCAGGGAGGTGTTGGATGCTCGGAAGGTTGAGCGTGGCTGTGGGCAAATTAAACTGCTCCTCATAATGCTCTTTCCAACGATTCAGTCTTCTATCCTGTGAGCTAATTATAGTGCCACTTTTTTCCGAGATTGTCTCACTAATGATTTGTCTTCTCCCACCCGTTTCCCTGATGAGTCCAAAGAGTTGCCTGGTGTTGCCTATCCTCAAAGCTTTCTCCATTTCTTTGGCTTTTGTCGCCCACCACTGTTCACGGTCATTCCGGAGACTTTTCGTAAGTTTCCTCTTGTGCAGCTTTCGCTCCTCATTGAATTCGGAGCTCGCAAGGAAGAACTAGAAACAAGAAATTATGGCTGGGAACAAACCAACGAAGAGCCACTCGCTCAACAAATATGTAGGGGAAAATGGATATGGATTGGGCATAAATAAGTTGAGGAGACAGTCAAATGACGTCGCGCGCAATGCAGGCCACTCCTCAAGTGGAACCCGAATGGGAAGCGGCGACCAGTGGGTTGTCATTGCTACGGTGACATGGAGGAGATCGTGTGAGTAAGAGGAGAAGACGAGAGATTGTGGGAAATCATGGTCCAAGCTGAAGAGGACGGCAGAAGATAGGACAAAGTGGAGATGTATTTGTTCAAGCCGTGTGTTCCACTCGGAACCCAAGGGAATAATAATAATAATATCACAGACCTTTCAGTCCTGGTCATGATTATTAGTGGAGCTGTTGTTAAATAGCCTAGAGAAATCAGGAGTGACAGTTGACAATTTTCTAAATTTATCAACGTGATTAATAATCGATGTATTCATTCATTGACTGGTACTAAAACAGTAGGAGGCAAGGCACGGAAGTAATGCTGTATTTTCAATTGATCAAACCGCTGTTTATATATATCTACAGTTTATATTGGTTAACCAATCACTGAGCTTATGATTTTGGTTTACATTAAGCAACATGAAATAGAATGTTCAAATACACACAAAGTATTCTTTTGCTACTGCAGTATTGTACTGTGGGAATAGGTGAGAATAATAATATTCCGTTGGAATACACACTGTCTGTATCCCACCACCACAGTATTGGCACAATTAAAAACACAAAAAATTTCATAAAACCAGAAGGAAAAGTGAAAGTGCAGAATGAAACTTACCTAAGACTATGTTGAAGATCACTCCAAACTCTTGATTTACATAAATCATTCATCAAATGAGTTTTGACAAGTTGATTGGATGTTAGACGTGTAGGCGCTTGCTGCTCATCTACGACAACACACAACACAAACAATCGCGGAAGACATTGGAGAATGAAGACAAGAAATGCAAAAGACACACACAGAGAGAGAGAGAGAGGGATTAACAATTATGAATACTACTCAACAATTGCAACCAACAAATAAAGGTAGAGTATTACTCCCTTAGTACCATGGATTGTTGTTTTCTTTCAAAATATAGGCTGCTTACAGACAGGTGTAGGTATACACAATATTTTTTGATAATTGAGTTGGTTACCGTACATAGTAGTCTGAGACAGCGATTAGTTTTTCTGCCAGCAGTGCTAGGTTCAGGATCTTGCCCGATTTGGACAGTTGACACACTAGTTTTCAATAGCCTTACAACTGACGTCAGTCCGTAATCTAACCTACAACCAGTCGTGTCTTTACTGTTTCCGCTGTCAACGTTTGACGTTAATAAAGGTCAGTGGTTGGAGACGGTCGGTGGGATGATACAAAATCATTCATATTAGTACTGATGTATTCATTGTCCTGAATACACTTATTACTTTTCATCAGAAGTACCGGTGTTGTTAACCATGTGTGTGTTTTCTTTCACCTAGGCCTAGGGATTCCCCTTGATTATTATTTCCAGTCATGTAACATCTTATGCATTTAACCATAACCTTGGATTAATGACATGAAAGCATAGGATAGTAGATTTCAGGCATTCACATGGTCATAATTACTAACAAATTTCGTATTGTCAAACTTGGTTAAGAATTTGAAGTAATTTGATGAATGATGGTGACTAGCAGTGGAACCCACCCACCTCCCACACATACGCACACACCATTTAGTCCCATTTGGGACTCTGGTCTCCTACATTTTACGCTCACCTTCCACTCGAAGGTCTGACATGCGACGTCATTCGACGATGGCCTCCTCAACGTGTGCCCAATCCAGCTCCATTCGCTTTTACATATTCGGTGAGCAGTAGGTATAGAACAATAATACATTTATTTATCTTTTCACGAATCCTTTTCGACTGGCTACAATAAAGATTTTTTAAAATACTTTTTACAAGACTTTTTTCATTTTTTAAGTCCCCAGTGAAACATAGGGCCTCAAGGCAGAGGCTGGAGTTTCCGTAGTATTTATTTTATTCTATTTCGTTGGTATGTATTTTTACGGGTAGGGTTGCAAGCCAACCCCATGCACGCCTACACATTTCCCGTTTACCAGTCTTATTAACGGTTTAGAGAAGTAAAGGAGTGCGTAGTCAGTGGCCGAAGATTGAACTCTATGTCGAAAACAGACAGACAGACAGAACTCCGGAACACATACGCAGTTGGCGAACATTCTACCATTGTGCCACCGACACACCAGAGTCATCCAATTTTACCATATATAGTCACTCCTTTTCGCTCCTAATTACATAACAACTTACATCATTTCAGACTACTAGTTAACATTAAGTTCCCACCAATTACTTCTTCTCATTGGTGTAAAAAGTATGTTTAAATCTTTATTGCGATTTATATATTTCTGCATTGTTCAGGTTGTAGCCAGCGGTGTGAGAAGCACCAAGGAAATAATGAGAGATGAGTTCATAGTATCCTGATGGTACATTTGTCATTCATGCCTTGTTGAAGTTCATTAAAGAAAACAACTAAGGGAGTCATTTTTAACCAAAATACACAATCTCACCGATCACTTATTAATGACTCACTCGTTTCAACACAGAACCTTGCACAGCTCTGCAGAATATCGAGTTATCACACTCCATGTATCACACAAACCAAGACAAAAGACCACAGAGAGGTTCAAAATAGAGAGACACAGATTATAAACAGAAGTGTCAGTGAGGGGATTAGGATTAGTAATACGGAAGAACAATAGAATCTTGTCATGATATTTATGATAAATCACAAAGAGTGAATGCATCTGCGCCAGCCATCACCCGAAGACGATTATGAGCCATATCACTAATTGTCTCCAATCGCTGATTCTCATCATCCCGAAGACCACAAACAGGCACTCTACACCTCCCTACGTGGCTCGCTGGCTGGCTGGCTGGCCTAAACTAACTGTTGTGGATTTCATTAACTGATGAGGCCAGCCATGTTTTGGTTTGACCACCATCTCCTAGCTCTTCTCCAACCTGATCCACCATTCTATGTCAGTTAACATTACCTATTATCGAGGAAGGCAATGGTAAGTTAGTCATGCGTAACACATGTCCTAACCATCTCTCTCAATCGATGTAACTTCACAAACTCGTTCACTGATTTTCCCTTCCTTCTTACACAGCACTCGACCGATGCCTGACCTCAATATTGCTCACTCTATTATTCCACCCAACATGGGAGACAGAAAGCAGGCACCTATGATCAGAGACAGCTAGCCAGGCTTTTCATGTATTCCAATTTCAATGGCTGCTGAGCAGTACACATGTCCTTCGATCGACAGCCAACCGGAAATCACGTCTATGCCAGAGATAGCGTACCTCAGCATATGCGAAACGAGCCTTCTGCATCCGTCTCGTGATTTCGTCAGCGATCGACCCGCTGACAACATTGTCTGTTACAACTTCCCAAATAAGTGTAGTTGTAAACACCCACACGAAGCCCTCCCTCGAAAAGCACTTATTAATCAGACTCAATGCCACCGCCTGCAGCCTATATAGATATCGGTTACATAACAAATGAGTATATGCAAAACATTGTAAACACCTTTTTAGACAAACAGACACACACACACACGCATGCATATGCATACGTATTATAACTGTGATAGGAGACAACAAAAGTACAGAAACATACACAGCATAAAGTTACAGCACATAAAAGAAAAACAAACAACAAATGAGTAGTCAACTCACTCGATACATCAAAAGATTGGATATCAGTAGTAGTGGAGGCGGTCTGTGCTGCTAAATTTAAAAATGTGGTTGGCATAACCAACGGACAAATTGTAAGAAGTGATGGTCGTAGAATCCAATCACTTCTTTTATCCGGGTGTGCAGATACCAAGTGAGTAAATATAGCGCATTTATTATTAGCGCTGATAATTCCACCCGGTAGAACAGAATAAAACCGTGAGCATGTTTCGCTCTCATGATTATCAGCGATACTGACCGCCTCACGTGAAGTCGTCCAAGAACCACGACAGATATGACAACGATACAATATTCGAGCAACGGCACGATCCAGATGGTCTTCATACAAAGCACTACTTGTAAATGTCGATCGGCAACACAGGCAAATATATAAACCCTGTGAAAATCGAAAAACATTAATATGATTAATACTTAAAATAAGAATAATAATAATAACACTACTCCATTCAACTTACCGCACCAATATGACTACTAACAACTAGGACACCTTTTCTATTTGGGGTAATGAGGTGATACAGGACGTGAAGAATACTAAATTTAAACTCCAAAGAAACCACGTGGACTCCGCGAAACTTTGTAAACTAGGGGCGCAACACTAGTTTGGGAAGCTGGTCACAATACTGTGCATCACTAGCATTTAACGGTATATTACACATTTCTGAACAGTAGAGATTTCTAGCTTGAGAACGGTATGCTTTCTCGATTCTTCTTCTTGTTGTTGTTAGAAATCCGTTACACACTTATCGTATGTGACAGGGTTGTTGATAACCGTGGAACAGGAGTCGAACCTGGCACCCAATTGGTTGGAAGTCAATTGCTTAGGTTAGTCAACTACATCCTCCTCACTGGTATATCTTCTAAGACTACACATTTAATCACGGACGTTCCACCATCCACCATCAGGTTAGTCAATTCTTTTCAAGGGAAAAACAGTGGAACGCCCACAATTATTTTATTCACTCACTTTTCTTGAAGTCGAATTAAGTAGCGAATTGGGTAGTGAGTTTTCTAATCGAATATTTGCCTCATTTTCACATTGAATCGCCGATGACGGTAACTGAAAGTAACAACAATAGGAATAATTACAAATATAATATTGATATTAGCAGTACACTTACAAACGAAAACTGTTGTGTCTGAAGACACATTTTACTCAACTCACACGGCTATTTTGTCAACAAAAAACTTCCGCGACGGCGTTATTCAGTTTAGTGGAAACGATCACAAATTCTAGTACAATTAATTCAGTAATATATCCAGTCATGTCAATTTTACAAGTGTTCAATCACCTACCTACCTACCTCAAATTTCACAAAATTCAGTTACTTCAACAATAGTGCCGAAAACACTATGAAGCCCTGCAACAAGCTAAACTCTCATCCAAATCCTCACTAAGGGATAATCTTTCCAATCATCTAGTCACCCATTCCCATCCTATCCCATCTCCATACTCAAACTGTTCATCCTGTTCTCGAGTCAGTCAGTCAGTCAGTCAGCCACAGAAGTACACAACCATTTATCGCCTTCAAATAAAACCATGCAAATTGAAGCTAAATTCAAACAGAGAATAGAGATTTCATACAACCGTTTCCCTTTATTAGTTTGAAGAGAGAAAGAACGAACATGTTCTCTCTTCAAAGAGAATAGAGAATCTGGATTCTCATAATGCATCGAATTCTATCTGTGAAGAGATACAGTTTGTGTAAAATCGGGAAATATGATCAGTCAAAGTGTAGGCGATTCCACTTTAATTTCTCCTGTCTTCACGGAATGCAAACAATCCCCTCTCTCCCTCTCTCTCTACATACATACGTACAGGCGCTCCTATTCTATTTGACAGGAAGAGTTTCACGACGTCGTTTTTCTCCATCAGTTACAGCCCGAAGAATGAGAGAAGTTTACTCTTCCTGCCTTGAATGATGATAGTATTGAAGTTGATGATGTAGCCTACTGGACAAATGTGTTCGAGCAATTATTGAGATGATTACATTGTCCTCCAGTTACAAACCGATGATCCCATACCATTTCATCGAGGAGGTAACAGACGGAGAGTACACATACCTGCACAGTATAATATCCAGTGGTCCTCCAATCGAGAACTCATTGAAGAAGAGAGATGTTGGGACAAACCAGCTTCTTTGTTAGTCATGATTTATCCATATATGAAGATATCTCTGTCCAAAATAATGATACTGTGGTGGTGGGATACAGACAATGTGTTCCAACAGAATATTATTCTCACCTATTCCCACAGGACAATACTGCATTAGCAACAGAATACTATATGTGTATTTGAACGTTCCTTTTCATCTCGTTCAATGTAAACCGAAATCACACGCTCAGTGATTCGTTAACAAATATAAACTATGCATGTATAAACAGCGGTTTGATTAATGAAAAATATACCTTGACGTCCATATCTTGCCTTTTGCTGACACAATATGACAGTGGCCCGTGTCAGGTGATCCAAAACGGAAGACGCAGAGAGGCGTTCGAAGTGCATGCAGGAGTAGGACAAGCCGACTGCCCATTATCACCAGTGATATTCTTAATTGTGGTGGACTACATTATGCATCACGCTAGACGTGGGGAATGAGAAAAAAGGAATACGCTGGACCACCGATAAGAAGACTCTAGAACATCTGGATTTCACGCGTGGATGACATATGTCGAACGTCACACAGACTCGAAGACTTACAGGCAACCAGGCAGGCAAAGCCAACAAACTGCCCCAAGAGGTGAGACAGACAGCGAAGACAGGACTCCAGGTGAATATAGAGAAGGTGTAGACGAAGGTGATGAAGATAACCAACCAACCGCCACATCAACAACAAGCAGCACCAATCACCATCAACGAGAGAGACTTAACTGAGGTGGCCTCCTCCACTTATCTAACCAGCCAGCATCGTTTCCACTACAACCAATCGGAACGGGTGAAGATGTCAAAATAGGCCAGAGAAGATCAGAAAAACAAGATACACCCTCATCAATCTGAAACCAATTCGAAGATCTTCTGCACTCAATCAGAAGCATAAACAACAAGATTCGAATTCTACCCAACACAAATCTGAAGTCACTCAGTCAATTCTTCTATGTGAATCAGAAACTTGCACTGCGCGTGAGTAGTCACGAAAAGGATTTCCAACAGCCTGTTTCACACTTTCATCAACAACTGACCACCTCGCTGACTGACTCCATACTAAAGATCAAATGGCCAGGAAGAATTAGAAACAAGAAATTATGGCTGGGAACAAACCAACGAAGAGCCACTCGCTCAACAAATATGTAGGGGAAAATGGATATGGATTGGGCATAAATAAGTTGAGGAGACAGTCAAATGACGTCGCGCGCAATGCAGGCCACTCCTCAAGTGGAACCCGAATGGGAAGCGGCGACGAGTGGGTTGTCATTCCTAGGGTGACATGGAGGAGATCGTGTGAGTAAGAGCAGAAGACGAGAGATTGTGGGAAATCATGGTCCAAGCTGGAGAGGACGGCAGAGAAAAAGGATAAAGTGCAGATGTGTTGTTGAAGCCCTATATTTCACTCGGAACTCAAGGGAATGATGATTACAACAGATATCTGATTAATACCAGAGGAGATTTCATCACAATAATCCGCATCAAATGAGTTAAGAGTTTAACCAATTAAAATAAATCCAAATAGGCGGATAAAAAATGTATCCGTTGTTTACAGCACCAGTAATATTCAAATGACTTTCGGATAAACCCAAACTGGGTAAAAACTGGTATCATCTCAAGAACACTCTTGTAATGCATTAAAACTGAAGTGATAATAAAGACACTATATAATTACTGACCTAACTCTTGATTAAGAAGTCATAACACGAATTTTTAAACAAAATAGCACTAGAAGACATGGAAAAGCATTTACATCATGTGGTGTACGCTGACGAATTGTACTGGGTACGATGAGGGCAGTGGAATCATTGACATTGGTTACAGCAGGTACAGAACTTCCTACAACAAGTCCATTAGACTCGTTCAGATGTCCACTCAGCGTCCCAGAAATCGGTTGCTGACAAAATCTCGACCAAGTGTAGAAAGTATTTCCAGGGAGGGTTATGTGTTCAGATGAAGTAAAGTAAGGTGGTGGACAGGTGACGCTTTGCGACCTTGTAAATCGAGTTCGACTATTAGATTGAGTAGGTTCAGAAATTTCCGTAACCTACAAAGATAAAGCTTATGTACAATCGTGGATATTTCATACACGGAATACACAAAAACTATGTGGAATTAATATAAAATATAACATAGTATCCACTCCAAAACGACTTGAGAACAAATTGTACCTTCGAGATGAAGAATAATGGTGAAACTCATATTGAACCACACTAAGAGTCTGTTCAAGATTCTATAATCGATTCTCTATTCTTTAACTCCGCACCAACATCAGTATCACTACTATCATATAACAAGGTTCTGTTTAGGTAGCTTTATTCAATAAAGGGGTCTTCAGAGACTCAGTTATGTTGCTGAACAAGAACACTTCCGCAGATTGCTCAGTGATAAAACGTAGATATAAGCCTCCCAATGGATGTTCTACCTCATTCCCAATGACACAACCCACTTCTCCTGCTACAAAATGAATTGTAAACATAAGTTCAACCGGATACCCAGTGTCACGATTTAACTGAGATGCTTACAAATATGTGTCACAACAGCAAACAAGTGACTGGTTGTATTAGTTTCAAGATTCATGTCTACAAATGTCATATAAACATCACAAAATTAGTTTCCCTGCAAAATTAAACCTACCATTCTTTGTCCCTAAAGACAATTTTAGTACTACATGCTACTTATATGCAAACAACGAACTTAATCCCTACCGTCTTCCCTGAAACTACATTATTTATACGCAGTCAACTGTTTCGCTGAACTGTGCAATCAATAATAACTGTTTGAATACCACCACTGGAAAGCACAAGTGGCAGGAAGTAACTGTGATGACACGTATAGGTGGCGTGAAAGGCAGGTGCGTCGGTGGCACAGTGGTTACGACTCTCGCCGACCATGCACATGGTCCGAGGTTCGAACCCCTGCCGACGCACATCTGATATCTATGGTCGGCCTGCGAAATTTGGGCTACCGATATTCATGCTGAAAATTCCATACTTGTACCAAAAATACAGTGTGGAATCAAGCTGTAATCAAAAATAAAAAAATAAATAAAAATAAGAAATTGTGTAGCATTTCTGTATAATACTGAGATTATTCTGCGATATGAACATGGTGTAAACCATGTATACAAATATCAACCGATGCAGTTAAATCATAGTGGCTACCCCAACAGACATGACGTTCGACATCCAATTAAATGTGTTACAATCAAATGAAATTGTATCCTCCGCTCTAGGATTGCTTAAAGCCTTCCAGGAAGCTGAATTCGCACGCATTTACGTCATAGGATGCTAAAATTTCACAATACCACTACAATTATCTAGTCCGCACGGATTACAAAAATGGCGTTTATCAGGAGAATTTTAGCGAAACCAGTGTGAATACAAGTCTTATTTCTGATACTTAATTCAATCTGTACAAAATCAATGAAATAGATTGGGCAACTAAACGCAGACTTAATCTAAAAACAGCATAATATATTCAAGAGTTGGCTTGTAAGGATTAAATTGATATCAATCCGAGGTCAAATTCGCAAAAACAAATCTAATCCCTACAAACCAACTCTTGAAAATTAATCTGATGCTTACTAGTGACTTCCTACAGGACAGAGTTTCCTGAAGTTCTAGAGCGAAGTCATGACCAGTAGGGCACATCCAGTCAAATGTGAGGATGGATTTCCCGCCTATGACACTGGTTGGTGGTCGCGCTAAGTCACGAATTGGTAGAAGTTAGAATTCATGCACTGGCCGTTGAATCCTGGCAGTGTGTGCTCACACAGCCGATGATTCCCAAACTAGGATGAAACAGTAGCTGTCCAATACTCCCTGGTTTTCAATGGTTCTCAACCTGATATCGATCCGTGGCCAAACTCGTAAAGGCATAATTTATACCAAAAACTTAATGGAGCGGACAAGCTC